AAATCGAATAGTTGAATAGAATCGACGAATCGCGACAGCCCTAGTTTTAGTTATTTAAACGTTAGACTTCTCTCTGGTGACACATGCAGGATTTCTCCAACCATTTAATTGCTTAAACTCCACCTCTGCAATCTGACGTTTATCTGCCAGCACTTCTAAGCACAACGCCCAAAAATCATGTTTCGCTCAATAATCCATCATAAAGACAGTCACTTGCTTCACTCCTGAACGAAGCAGCAGTTTAAACAAATTGGTTAAGTATATGATTCAATGACTCACTCGTTAAGACAGTAACTTGCCGCCACCTACTAACAGGTTTAGTTTCATATTTAAAAGTATCATTTCATTTTATAAAATCATTTAATATTTCAGCATTCAAAATATTATTTTTAAAACTAATCTTATAGCTTATGTTTGTAATTGTATATAACAGCCTATAATGTCTTTATTTTAATTGAGTTAATTGATTAAATGTAAGAATTTGACATAAAAGATGCATACATCTAATAAAGTTATTTTACAAAATGCCCCATAATGGTAAAAATGTATAATCAACGATGTAATAATCAACAAAATCACAGAAACATGTCAACGTTGACTAACTTTAACTGACTTGATCAGCAAGATTCTCTTCAAACTGTTTCTGTGCTATGACAGAGAAAACTGACTCTAGAAGATGATGTTTATGCAAATGTTGCAAAAGCACCCCATGTGGCGACTCTGAGAATGAGGCACACATTTGTCCAGCATTATGTTTTGAGTTCTGACAAATTTTGAAATACAGTGACGCACGAAATTTGCTTGTGTAGCTATTAGCATCTGTTCACGCACTTGTGTAGAGAATGTGTCTGGACTTCAGCAGTGTAGCAACACTTAGAGCGGGTGACTCATAGCGTGTGTGTGTGTGTGTGTGTGTGTGTTTACTAGCTACTCTTCATTTAGATGCTTTTTTGTGAGAATGTGTTTGGTGAGAGTTTATTCCTGTGTATGTTGGTGCTGTATGTTTAGGAAAGCCTTCATTATGAAAGATTCATTCTGTGAGCTCAGCGTGTACAAAGTCTGTTCTGTGTGCTGTTTACACATACACACACACACACACACATACACATATTCTGTTAACAAACATAGTGACCCCCCACACACACAGACCAAATAAAGTAATCAGTTTCCCTCAGAACAAACTTTCTGTGGCTTAGGCACACTCTTTCACATACACACACGTGAGAGTGTTCAGTGTATATGACTGTGTGCACATACCATAGTACAGCTGTGTCGGGGGACACATGCGCCTCTCCTTCTGGAAGCATTAACGTTCCGCTCTGGAATGCTGAGCTGGTGAAGAATTATTTTTTTCTGAATTATGCATGGAGAATCTTGAGCACTAGATAGATTGTCATTCGTCACGCTGCCACCTGCTGGACACAAGAGTCACGAGCAGCAACTTGTAGACTTTTAGGAGTGTGTGCTGGAAATATTTGTTGTTTTTTTGACTGATTTATATATGCCATTAAATAATTGGTAGACATAAAGTAGCACTGGGAGATGTATTATGTGATGGGATATATTTGCAACATTGTAAATCATGTTTCATGATTTTAGTGTATTTTTTATGTAGCAATTAAGTTTCCCAAAGGTTTACAACCTTGGATTTCATAAGAAAATGTTTTATTCAAGGCATAACTGTCACTTTATGCAGTTGTATATATTATTTTAATTATATTACATTTGTATTTTTTGTTGTTAAGCTGTTTGAATGTATTTTATTGGATTTTACCTCAGACAGTTAGACCATTGGACAAAAAACTATCAGTACAATTAATTTGAATAATTTAATTAGTAAATTTAAGAATGAGTTTAAGATTTTTTTTAATATAATTAAATTAACTGGGCACAAATTTGTCTTCACCTCCCGCATCTGTACTTGGTTAATTGCAAAATTGAATATAAATGGAGATGCATTTTTTTTTTTTTTTGGTACTGCCTTGTGATTGAACTATTTATTTGTTTGAAAATGCTACAGTAAATATAATATAAAAAAATAAATTAAAATGTAAAAACATTTTAATAAAATTTGGTTTGCACACAAAATTGCAGTCCTATAAACCATGTAAATATATATTGCTTTGTGCAGACAACAGTGACTGTTTGGTTGAAACAAAAGTCACTCTTATAAACTATTTTGTTGTAAATACATGAATGTCGATAATTTTTACCAAAAGGCTAAAAAATATTGAGATACAGCTATTTTTGGCTATAACACCCAGCCCTTGGTATAAAATACTAAACGAGTGAATCACACACATAGTGAGTAATTGTGGCCACATGTTGCATAACAGTGTTGCACAAACAACAGTGCTTCTCCATGTACTGTGTGTAGGTGTGTGCATGTGCTTCCACTGTGTGGATATACTACATCTTGTTTTACAAGCAAATTTAGTTGATTTACAATCATAGGACGCCGTATTTTAATGGTATTCCTATCCTGATATCAGGTTAATGAATTGCACAATATTTGCACTCACTCACTCACTTTGAACCCTGTGCATCAGAGATCTGGAAGAGCAGCTTTATTGTTGGAAGGCTCTCAGTTGCCTGTGGAGGTAAGAGAACGGAGAGATGAATGAGCGCTCTGTTGCTGTCTAGACTCTGTGGTGACTGAGAGGCATCAATCTGCCTCAGTGTTTGATGATTTCTCACAGTTTACACCTGAGGTATATGCACACACACAGACCCACCCAGGAACAGACACCATGAGGTTCGTGTGAACAAACACACACTTTCTCAGAAAGACTGTAATCTGTCATGTCGCCACTGAGGGAAACACACATCAAATACATGAGGAATGACTTGACGAAAAGAGCAAGGATCAGGGATAGTATAGTTTTGAAAAGTTAATCGTTTTGATTTTATTTTAGTTTTATTTAATAAAAAAATACTACTTAGTGGTCTTACTGTGAACAATTCATTGGTGAAGGTCATTCCAAAGGATGTTTTTCTAAGAAATCACTTATGCTCACCATGGTTGCGTTTATTTGATCAAAAATACAGTAAAAATTGTGAAATATTATTGCAATTTAAATACATTGTAAAATGTAATTTATTCCTGTGATGCAAAGCTGAATTTTCAACATCATTACTTCAGTCTTCAATGTCACATGATCCTTCAGAAATCATTCTAATATACTAATTTGCTGCTTAAAGTCCCCATGAAATCAAACCTGTTTCAGTTCAAATGACGTCAACACATAGAGTAACGCTGCGTGTTTCTAAGCATTTCAGGGGACCTTTAAGAAATATCTCTGATTATTATCAGTGTTAAAACAGTTTTTGCTCCTTAATATTTTGTGAGATTTGAAATAATTTTTTTGTAACATTATAAATGTCATTTTTGATCAATTTTAATGTGTCCTTGCTGAATAAAAGTATTAATTTCATACTGACCCTAAGCTTTTGAACAGTAGTCAGTACTTCTCACATTTTTTCTTGTTGTGGTGATTGTGTTCATTTACGCTTAATGTTATCCATCAGGTATTGGGAAACACACATGCTCTCTCAGTACCTCATCTGTTAGTCGTAGTGTAGTGAGGGGCTGCTTTCAGGTCGAATGTTTTCCAGCACTTCTTCCAGAAGAGAACACTCATCCTCTCTCTCTCTGACGTAAATCGCTTTCAGAAGAGAAGAGATATTACAGGCATTTCTGCTCCCTGCTCACAGGAAGGCCTCATCTTTCTGTTTCAGACACGAGAGAAAGAATGAGATTAAGAAAAACAAAACGCATCTGGAGAGAGTCGTGTTCATAAGAGGGATGACTTTGCATTCTGCTATGAAATTCTCTTAGCAAGTTCTGCACAGATGTTCGACCCCTTGCTTGTCTTGAAAGTTTGTACAGTGTGTAAAGCAACAAAAACTATTTTGTTTAATTGTATTCTTAAACGAGTTCAAGAAATGGGAGGAGAGACCATGGCCAGAATTAGACCTTGTGGTTGCAGACTAAACAGAACGTCTGGAAGAGGAAAACAGATAGCCAGACATTGTGTTTTTCTTCTGTACTTTCACATTTTCTTCCCAAACCTTTGCCAAAAGCACATGCATTCAAACACAACAAGATCAGGTTTTCACAACTACTCATCTTGACTGAAATCTTTTGTTTTTCTCTTAAAAAAAAAACAGCATAGCTCATAGTTCTGGACCAGTGATCCAGTGATACATAAGAATGATGAAAGGACTATATATATATATACTATATATGTATAAACTTGGTACAAAATACATTCATGGAAATTACTTTTTTTTTTTTGTCATTTTCAACAACAATATTTTCAACCAAAAGTCATGATTTAAGAACATGTGAAGTAGTGTAACCAAGTAACAAGAAACACATTTAATATGTGTAAAATCTTAATTATTGTTTAAAAAAAAAAATGTGACAATGAAGACTGGAGTAATGACCACTGAAAATGTAGCTTTTAGTTTTTGTTTTCCAGCATTTTTTTTTTTCAAATATTAGTAGTATTTTATTAAAACGCGTTACTTAATTACATGGTGTTCTTTTAAAGCAATATATAATTTTTTTTTTTTTTTTTTTTTTATTTATTAATTGACCCAAGCAAAGAGGACCTAATTTAATACTTTAATTTTTTCCATTACTACTGCAATTCCACAAAATGATTACTGAGCTGAAAATTATGTAAATGTCCTTCTATAATATCCATACTGTGTGTCTAGCATTCACAGATATAACTATGTAAAAATAAAAAATTCACAGTCATTAAAAAATGATAGATGAAACAAAACCGGTAAACACATTCTCAGTATAATAAAAATATATGAACATATTCAGTAACCAGTAAAGCCAAAATGTATATTGCTTTCAGAATATTAACTAGTTGCTTATTGTGTGACCAAATATTTATATTTAAATAAATCTTTCTTTGTGCATGTGGGCATTTGTTTGAATTTTTCTTTTTGTGTGTTTGCCTTTTATCAGGTGACTTACCTTGGCAAGGTGTCGATTTCCGGCACTCACTTCCTGTCCGGCTGCACCGAGTCGGCTGTGGTGGGATTATGGGACGCCAAGCGGACATCAGTGGCCCACGATGACTCCATCACCTCCAGCAACGGCATACTGGAAATCCGGCCGTTCCAGGTACGACTGCATCACCTGGATGGGATGGGCGAGGCCACGGTCGCCATGGACACCTTCCAGGTGGCTCGCATCGCGTACTGCACGGCGGATCACGACGTCAGCCCCAACGTCTTCGCCTGGATCTACCGGCAAATCAACGACGATCTGACCTTCCAGATGGACTGCCACGCCGTGGAGTGCGAGAGTAAACTGGAGGCCAAAAAACTGGCGCACTCCATGATGGAAGCCTTTAAGAAAACCTTCCACAGCATGCGCAGCGATGGAAGCATCCACAAGAGCGGCTCGTCCGACGAGTTCCCCGAAGAGACGAGCACACCCGACGACGGCTGAGAGCCCGGGGGTTGGGAACGGCTCTCGCGCTCTTTACGTCTTTGTGCCATAATAGAATATTCCGAAAAATAACCACAACAAAAACAGAACGCAAATGGAAATTCAAACCACAAACCAAGAAACTAATCTGCCTTTTTTCGATCTCGGCTGCCAGACAGTTCGTGCCCGTACTTTACCACAGTCGCACTCCCACTTGAAAGCTGCTGGTTTTGATATGGCGCGTGTGAATTGGCAAGAACTTGTTACACGTTCACCTGTTATGTTACTTTCGTTTTACCGATCAAAACCTTTGGATCTGGGAGTTCCTGATGTGCGTGCGGAAATCTTTTGTCGTTTTTTTAGATAACGCAGAGGTGTGTTTCCTCTGCTAAGTAGAGTTTCAGAGAGATAAAAAAAGATATAATTTTGATATTTATGGCAGGCAGCCAGCCTAGGGCATTTCTTTACTTTTATCGGGCCATAGAAGCGTAATTATAGGGACCATGCATCAATTTCTATGCTTTTTATTTTTGTTGTTTGTTTGTTTTTTAAGATACCAAAAGTCAGTGTGCGTGTGTGTGTGTGCGATCTAGGGTTTGTTTGTCTGCAGTAACTATGGAACGGGTTCTCTACTACAAGCCGAGTGTGCTTGTCTGTTTAGTGCGTTTGTGTGCGAGGTGTTTTCCAACAGAAAATACTGGCGCTTGTGGTAAATGAGATTCCAGATGCATCTGTATTTTAAAGCCATAGTTCACCCAAAATGAAAATTCTGTCATCATTTACTCAATCTCATGTCGTTCCAAACCTGTATGAGCAAAAGAAGACATTTTGAAGAATGTTGGTAACAAAGAGTTGCGGTAGCCGTCGACTTCCATAGTATTGAAAAAAATATTATGCAAGTCAGTTGTTAACGCCAGCTGTTCGTTTACCAGCATTCCCCAGATGTTCTTCTTTTATGTTGAATAGAAGAAAGAGACTTTGCTTTTGAACTATTTCTTTAACTCCTGCAGGGCTTATAGGTGCGGTCACGTTTACTCTTGTTCGTGAGCGAAATCCAGTCATTCTGATAGTAGTCCGCAAAAGTTTTGTGAGGAGGAAACCGTTCACCATGCAGATTCTGCTTGGTTTGAAAGTGGCTTAAGTGTGAGCTGTGCTTGATACATTGCTACGCTATATATAGTAGACCTTTTTTTACGAGAAATTTTTTCGAAATCTTGATATTGTGACCGCACCTATAGTTCACGATCGTAAACAGAAACTTGCGATGGGTGCTTTCGAAACAATGCTTCATGAAGCTTTGAAACATTTTTCTTTTTTTTTTTTTTTTTCTTGAGAATCACTGTATCAAACTCACCAAGTCATGTGATTTCAGCAAATGAGGCTTTGTATTGTCAAACTTTTTCAAATCTTACGTAAACGTAAAAATTCAGATGCTGCTGTTGAACTAGTGAAACTATCAATGGTTTTGAACTGATTACGGTTCATTTTTAATTCATTTACTGAGCTTTAATTGATTTGCGTGTATAATATGATAAGGAAAATTGACTTCTAATTGACCTAGTTTGCCTAGCCCTGCCTAATGAAGCAAAAACAAGTACTACAAATTAATAAAACACAGATTTCAAAGAACCTTCATATGTAATTATTTGTAGATTACTTTTGATAGATTACACTTTCATGAAAATATTGGCAGTTGGTTTATAAAAGGTGTCATTATGCATGTTTGGGCTGAGTTTTTGTTACATTTACACCTTTTTGACCAGCAGGTGCCGCCAGGCTGTGGAGACTTTGTGTGCTTTGAAACAGTAATTGATTTTATGAAGCAATTGATTCAGGTGATTCCAAGCATCAAAAAGCATTGTTTCTCCCATCACGTACAGATCCCCCCATGCTGAATGTATGAAGTCTCTTGTGCTGCAAGCGCTATATATGTACTGGTACTGAAAGCCTTGTTTGATTATTATTTTAGAATTTTTTTTTTTTTTTTTAAATATACATTTGAATTTGCAGGTAATTTGGAAGCTGTATAGTGGTTTAGATCCACTCTTTGTACAAGATGTCCAGCACGTGTGTGTAATATAATGCATGCGTGATTTTACACGTGGCTCCACTCACCTGTGAAAACCCTGTTATGAGACGATGGATTGTGGAGCATCGAGCAGATGAATAATTTTGACTCTATTTTGAATTCTGATTTGGAATCGGATTCTAATTGGGATTTGGATTCTGTTGGAGTGCATCTGGCAGTGACATTTATAAATATAAAGAAATATATATAAAAGATATATACAGTGTATTTGAAAAACTCATTTGATAAGCTTGTGTAAATACAAATGTATCCATTTTTTTTCTTTTAAATACTGCATTAAATGTTTGATATTTTGAATAAAGTGACAAGCACCATTACAGAAATCAGTATTATGGCCAACTGTGAATTTGGATCAGGAGCGGAGGGCAGCCTTCAAATGTCAGGGGAGAATGAAGATGAGTGTCTCGTCGTTGTTGCTGTTTTTTAATTTGTAATATTGTAGATGAATATTCTCACTACATGTCTTAATGGCTCAGACTCGCTTTAATGTTTTGAAATGTTACCATATGTGTTTTTTATGCTGTATTTGCAAAGATAAAAAGATACAGTCATATATAAACTATTTACCAAGCTAAGTTGTGGTTCTTTTCTGTTATTATTTACATATATTATCAGACTGTGGTGTATGGGTCAGGTTTTGTAATTAAATATTTTATGTACATTTATTAAAATATTCATATATAATCTATGAAGTGACTGAGATATGTGCCGCTAGTTGCACTTCCATTCTCAGTCAGTAGGTGGCGACAGAGTCCTAAAAAAAAACTTGATTTTATATTATTCCACTATTTTTCTCTTCATCTTTGAACCTCTAGAGGGCACTGCAGCATTGAAGAGTATAAAGGAAATGCGGTATAGAAATCATCATTCAAATTAACTATATACACCTCCACATATGATATGGTACATACAAGCTCATTAATTTCATCTCACGTGCTTGCTTTTATTCCTACTGACAGGACTTTTGTGAAGGTGCCGTATGTGTCAAATAAAAATCGATCGTTCAAAATGAAAAGCAAAATCATTATGCAAGATAATTATAGAATAAAGCTTGAGGCAAGAAATTTGCCCTTGACAAGATCCTGACGCGCAAGTTAGGTGATTGGCCATAACTATAGGAGACTTAAATGACTGATTCATAAGTGTAGACTAATTAAATTGATATACTAATATTTATTATTTGAAGCAGCCCCGCGTGCACTCGCAGCTTTATATAAGCAGCATTCATGAGTCAAACTGTCAAAGTGAACAGTGTGAATACAGTTTCGTGTCAGATTCAGTCATGTGTGAGATCGCTGAACATATGGGCTCGGATCAAAGGGTTTATATAAGCCTCTTCAGACGCACCAACCTCTTATTTCTTTGCCTCTGGAGGAACTTTTGACGAAACCCTTCGCCAGTGTTTTGGCCTGCCTTCTTGAGTGAGAGCTATCACACCTCTACAGCACACTCGGCTCTTCAGGTTCACTGCTGTATCACGCTCCGTAATTTCTTTCATATTATTGAGCACTGATTCAGAGACTATATTGGAATTGGAGGTTGTGTTCTATATATACACACACATACATACAATGCTTTTTGGTCCTGGAATCTGATTGGCTGAGAGCCTTTTCCAGCGGTGCAATATTCTAGTCGTAACAGAACTCCAACTATTTGTATTTCTCACAGCACGTGTCATGGCAGATGCCCAAATCCACTATAATTTTATAAATAATACTGTTTTTGTGTCGTGGAATGTAATTTTTAAGAGTTTTTTTTTACATGTATATAGGTGAGAATAAAGTTGTTTACACTCTAAAAAATGCTGGGTTAAATATAACCCAGCGCTGGGTTAAAAAGGGACAAACCCAGCTATTGGGATGTTTTGACCCAGCGGTTGGGTTGTTTTGACCCAGCGGTTGGGTTGTTTTGACCCAGCGGTTGGGTTGTTTTGACCCAGCGGTTGGGTTGTTTAGACCCAGGTCAAAACAACCCAACCGCTGGGTCAAAACAACCCAATAGCTGGGTGTGTCCCTTTTTAACCCAGCGCTGGGTTATATTTAACCCAGCATTTTTAAGAGTGTAGGCTTCAAATACGCAGTTTGTTAATAAAGATATCTATTCAAATTCGCTTTGTTTGTGGAATCTGACTATGACTTGGTTGAGCTATATTTCTGATTCACTAAAAAGAACCATCTTATAACAGTCATTCGTTCAGGAATCTAACTACACTAGTTGAGCTGTATGTTTTTGATTCACTAAATGAACCGTCTCATAAGAGTCATTTGTTTGGGAAATCAAACTCTTCACTCCAGTTCAGCTGTTTTGATTCGTCAAAAAGAACCAGCTCATAAGAGTCATTCGTTTGGGAATCTAACTACACCGACTGAGCTGTATGTTTAAGTATATGAGTCATTTGTTTAGGGAACTTTACTACAATGGTTGTATTGTGTTTTTTGATTCACTAAAAAGAACCGACAGAGTCATTTGTTTGGGGAATCTGTCTACACACTGGTTGACCTGTATATTTTAGAGTCACGAAAAAGAACCAGCTCAGAAGAGTCATTTGTTTCATAACACTGGTTGAACTGTATGTCTTTATGTCTTTTGATTGACTAAAAAGAACCATTAGAGCCTTTTGTTTGGGGATAACAATAAAAAAAGTCATGGAAGAACACATATTCCAAAATTCCTTTCTTTTTAAAAATGGAATCATTTTGGAAAAAGACCCTCAGTGTTGAGCAGGGCATGGTGGTACTAGACAAAACAAGCTGTAAATCAGAGACAGACATCTGCAGCATCCGCCCAGCTGATCCGAGGCCGTTGGGTGTTGCTTGAAAGGGCTGTGTCAGATTAAGCAGTAGCATCTCAGCATATCTTCCATCTCTAATTGACCTTTTAGAAAGCAGCAAAGATTGAATCCTGATATCTGAAAAAAGGCATCAAGAGAATCCCCCTGCCCAATTCTCTCTTCTTCTTCATCTCTATGAACACTGTTGGATCTCCTATCATACCATCATCCATCAGTGAAGCACTATGACCTGTTTTATCACAACCTCAGAGTCCAAGCTAATGTGTCCATTGCTGATCTGTGACCAGTGTGAGGTGGCGTTATCACAGGAATGAAGATCTGCACCTGATTCACTTTAATCTCCACACAAACTCATATCAGAGAGACAGGTGCATTGTGGGTAATGAAATAGCATAGTGTTATCAACAAGATTTTTGTAATGCAGATAGCATCATGCAGGGGCTTTAATGGAAGCTCTGAGTAGGCATCAGTGATGTCCGAATGGATGAATTAGCTTGCTTGTTTTTCTCAGGTTGTAAAGATCAAGTGTCATTAATCCACCCAACTGATTCATTCCAAACACAGGCGGCGAAGCAGAAGGGCTGATGCAACCTTACAACCCGCTGATATTTACACTCAAAAACACATCAATTAAATTAATTCAAGTTCAAGAACATGTCTGGAGATTAACCCCGTAAAGCCTGATATATGAAATAATAGTCCGAAAAAAAAATAGTTGAATGAACTTTTGGAGAAAGTATAAGAAAAATCTAAAGATTCATATGCGTTTTGTTTCATATGAGTGGTTATGAACGAATGAATGAAACGCATTTGTCCGTATTTCACTCCGTCTCGAATCGCGTTCGCGGAAAGCGCTTGAGAAACAGCGTCTCTTCCGCGGCTCGGTACGCTTTCAACTCGTTTTTTTTAGTCT